TTAGGGTCTAGGGTTTAGGGTTGCTTCGGGGGTTTGGTTCGTCTATCGCGTTTTGCAGAACTCTTCGCATGTTGTGGTGTGCGTCTGCCTGAATATGTTTGCATGTCTTCATATGTGCAGATCTCTGTGTACACGTTGCATGTGCAGGTCTACGTGTACGAACATGTGGCTTGCATTGCATGCTTGCATGCATGCACGGATGTACACACATATGGGTGCACGTTAGCAGTATGTAAAGATGCAAAATGTATATATGTGCATATTCGAAATACGTACGTGTGCGTGGGTCGATGCATGCATGTCTTCCTGTGGATCTGCGTGGGTGCTGGCATCGTCTTTTGCATTCTGTCACAACAGGATACGGTTATGCTCGACTGTACTGTAGTTCAGTACAAGGGAGCATTGACATTCAAGACGTGGTGGCAAAGCAGACTGGAGACACGGATGCTTCGCCGAGGTCCCCTCATTTGGTGACTTCCTGGACTTGGTAGGTGCCGCTGAGCAACTCCTCTGTCAGCTCTTTCTCAAGATTCTGCATGTCTAGGGTTTAGGGTATAGGGTTTTGGGGGATACTTTTCCCATATTTATTATAAGGAACCCCCCCAAAATAGTACATGCAATTATTTAGGCCCCTGCTGTAGGGTTTCTTAAGTCGCTGGGTCTTTAGGCCCCTCAGAGCTTGAAGGCTTCGGGCCGAAGTGCTGGAGGAAGTCGCCGTGTCCTTGAACCCCCAAAACCCCCCAAACCCTAAACCCCCTCAAGGGCCCTCGATGTAAGCCCGAAACCCTAAACCCTAAGCCCCAAACCCCTAAACCCTAAACCCTAAAAGCCCTAAGCCCCAAACCCTAAACCCAAAGCCCTGAACCCTAAACCCTAAACCGAAAGCTCTTTGAGTTTGTTGGGTCCTTGCCCTCTTCATTCTCGAGGTTCCGGAAGCCCAAGGCAAGTTTGCCCCGGGGCGTCTGAGCCTTCATCAGGTCAGGGTTTAGGGTTTTAGGGTTTTTTTTTTAGGGTTTTAGGGTTTAGGGTTTAGGATTTTGGGTTTAGGGTTTAGGGTTTAGGGCTTAGGGTTTCAGGGGCTTTGGGAGCTTCAGGGTTGCAGGGATTCTAGGGTTTCAGGGGCTTTGAGGGGTTTAGGAGGTTTAGGGCTTCAGGGCTTTAGGGTTTTACGGGCTTTAGGGGTTTAGGAGTTGAGGGTTAGGCGACTGCCCGCGCCTTCACACAAAGGCACTCGTCCGGCTCCTGGCAGGGCCTTGCGCGCAGGCAGCAGACCCCAAACGCTGCATGACATCAGAAGGGATCGGTTTGAGGGCCGCCAAACTCCACAGGGGCCTGGATGGACACAGGAGCCTAATGTAGGGGCCTTCATAGTTAGAATAGGGCTTCGGGGGTATATTATACTGTATTTTTAATAAGGAACCCCCACATTAGTATTATACTATATTTTTTAAATAAGGAACCCCCAAATTAGTATTAGTATTGTTTAAGGCCCCTATATTGAAAAGGGTTCTTGAAGGGTCTCCAAAGAGGGGAAACCTGAGCGCTGAGCTCGAAGCTCGGAATCGCCACCCCGAGCCTATCTTTCGAGCCTTCCACCGAAGCTGACAGCTTAGGGTTTAGGGTTTAGGGCTTAGGAGCTATATCCTGGGCCCTGAACCCTTAAATCCTAAACTTTAGTAAACCACAAAGCCCAAGCCCGAGATGTCTGAAGCTTCTCAAAGTTAATTCGCTCACTTCGCCGGGGTTAGCTTTTCAGCCGCTCGGCCCGTTGATTTGGGACGCCTCCCCAGATCTCATCTAAGGTTACAAAGCATACTACAGCATGAAGCAATACAGTGCCACGTGATACCCAATACCATCTGATAGCATACGTACACTCTACAACTTAATATATTATAATATATATATATATATATATATAATATTATATATATATATGTAAAATCTGTATGTATATATATGTAAGATATAAAAATATACATATGTATAAGACATATTTTTTTATACCACATGCACACCTCACACGCAGCGATCCCCATCACAAATCCCTGCAGCATCGCCCGGGGCTCGAGCGCGTCAGGCCCTCCCTCGAAGCCCACCGTGGAATAGCAGAGGCCTCCGCTATAGGCTCTGGTTGAGGAGCAAGGGGCTAAGGGTTTATGGGTTTAGGGTTGGGAGTTTAGGGTTTATGGGTTGAGGATTTAGGGTTGGGGGTGTGGGGTTTATGGGTTTAGGGTTTAGGGTTTTGGGGTTAAGGAACTACCATAAGTTACCACCCACCACCAACAACAGGAGGAGGACGGGGGTGGTTGAGGAGTATGGAAAGGAAACTATGCGCGCTTACCCCTTGCATCACGTTCAAAGGAAGAGCGATGATGCGGAACAGGTCCGAAGATGACGAGGCTTGTGCTGATGTATGAGGCTGGACGACGATGAGGAGGATGAGGCTAGTAAAGGACAGTTAAGGGCTTCGGGATGTTGTTGAGGAGGATGAAGACGAATGGCGACACAGATGATGACGGTTTTGATTGATACTGCTGTCTCTCCTGTGACGGTGGTACGTGCAGTTACCATTATGCCGGAGCGCAAAGACCAAGCCCACTGTTGCGTGTTAACTGCCTGTCACCATTCTTTCCGATAGAAAACAGAACCCGAAACTTGAAACCTGAAACCCTAAATCACAAAACTGCCTAATCCGAACACCCTAAACCCTAAACCCTAAACCCTAAACCCTAAACCCTAAACCCTAAACCCTAAACCCTAAACCCTAAACCCTACACCTAAAGCCTGAATCCCTCATCCCCAGGTCCTAAAACCTGAACCCTGAGCCGACTCCCCGAAGCCCTGAACCCCAAACCCAGAACCTAAGACCCGAAAACTGTGGTCCCAACCCTGCTCTTCAACAGGCTCGCCATTGTCCTGCGAACTGCATTAGGGTTAAGGGTTTAGGGTTGAGGCATAACAAATCTTTGTTGCTTTGTCTTTAGGCTTCTACCCTAAACCCTAAGCCCTAAACCCTAAACCCTAAGCCCTAACCCGAAACCCTAAGCCCTAAACCCTAAACCCTAAGGAGATTCTAGTGATACTGGAGTCTCTTCAGGCTTCGCGGAGGGTTGAACGGAAAGCCCTCGGCTTGCCGAGGCGGACCTCTTCCTCGTCATTGGGGGGGTTTAGGGTTTGAAATGTAGGATTTAGGGTTTCGGGTGTAGGATTTAGAGTTTCGGGTGCAGGATTTAGGGTTTCGGGCTTTGGGTTTCGGGTTTGGGGGTCTCGCGGGCATGATCCTTGAAGCTTCGGTGCCTCCGGGCTCGGGGCTACTAAAGCTCGTATTTCACCTGGCAGTCAGGGTGCAGTTTATATAGGCCTCAATGAATATCAAGGGTAGTATAAGGACTGACAGGGTATTCTAGTGGTACTTATTCCGACCTCCACAAAAAGGTTGGGGGTGAGGGCAGCCCCTCAATCTGGAACGCCCAGTGCATCCTCACTTTTCGAATCTTGGTGCCACCCCTAAGACTTGAAGAAGCCGATCTTGCACATCAAAACTGCTCCTCCTCCAAATGCTGATTGTGATTCAGGAAGACGGCAAGATGAGTTTCGGTCACAAGTACTGGTGGGTTGGACGTGCGCGCAAACTTTGTAAAATCCGTACCTGGCCACAGTTGTTTTCTGTGCGCCAGCGCCATGCAGCCATATTGACTAATTCTCTCTATACTTAACATTAAAACGCGTAGTGTGTACCACACTTTTTGAAATTGAGGAACTACAGGCACGCACATACATCCACACATGCATGCATACATGTATGCGGCATGTATGCATACATACATACATACATACATACATACATACATGCGTACATACATAATAAGATACATGCACGCATACATACCTACATGAATACGTACATGCACGCATACAGACAGACATACACAGTCTAGATACAGATAAATCGCAAATCCACTGCTCCGACGGCTCCTTGCACTTCCCAGCCTCGCTCATCTGCCCCCTCGCCTCGGCGTCAAGGTTACCGGTTTGAGGGCGTTCGGGCTTGCTGGGTTTAGGGTTTAGGGCTTCGGGTTTAGGGTTTAGGGTTGAGGGTTTAGGGTTTAGGTGGGTTCCGACTTTAGGTCCTAATTGATCTTGCTTTGAAAGCTGTAGGAACTTGACCGTACGGTTCGGTTCAGGCACAACAACAGCAGCAAATGCTAAGCACACTAGTTCTTCTCCCCTCCTGCGATGATGGGGCATACTTCTGGCAATGACTACGGATAAGACTGCTCTACCAGCTATACTCTTACCAGACAACACTCTACTCTACTCTCTACTCTACTCTCTTCTTTTATCGTCTTACTACGCATCAACTCGAGCTTGAAGCTCAGGGCGCACCCTAAACCCTAAACCCTAAACCCTAAACCCTAAACCCTAAACCCCCCCCCCCACCCCCCCACCCCCCGCCGGTGCTGGGGCCCCTGCTGGGCAGCCGACCTACGGTTGCAATCAGGAAACCCCGCAGGGCTTTCGGATTTCCTTAAATGGATCGATAATGCTTCTACAAGGCCTCTATAAGCGTTTCGGTTTTTGGGATTTACGGCTAGGGGTTTAGGATTCAGAGTTTGCGGTTTGGGGCTTTGGGTTCAGGGTTTAGGGTTTTGGGCTTTGGGTTTAGGGCTGGATACTTAGAACATGGGGTCTGTTATGCTGTAACATTGATGAGATGTTGAAGACATTATAGTAACAGTGATTGGGGCTGGGGGTATAGCACTTTATAACACTAGCTAAACCCTCGGGTATAAACACGATAACGTTGTTAGGAAAGGTCTACTAAGAATACTACCAGAAATCAGCGTACAGCGGGGGTCAGGGTGTGGGGGTTGCGAGACCAGACCCATGGTGAAAGAACGCATTTCTCCGCATTCAAGCCCCAATGCCCTGTACTATACCCCTGAAACGCTGGTGGCCACCCTTATAAGACCCGTCTCACCTTATTTAGGAACCAAAAAACTCTGGCAGCCTCGGAGGGTTCTGCTCACACCTCTCGGCCCCTCTCCGTGAATCCCCGGCCTTCATCAGCCCTCTTATGGAACCCTTAAGGATTTAGGGTTTTGGGTTGAGGCGCCTAAACCCTAAACCCCTAAATCCCTAAATCCCCTAAATCCCTAAATCCCCCTAAACCCTAAACCCTAAACCCTAAACACCTAAAAACACCTAAACACACCTAAATCCTCAAACTCACCTAACCTGAAGCGCTGGCCCTGAAAGGCCAGGGATGGCCCAACTTCCAAGAACCCCCAAAACCTTCCTTAGAGGGTATAATTAGGGTAACTATAGTTATAACCCCAATTAAGGGACTTATAACCTTACTTACTAAGTCCCATGTTCCTCCAAGTAAACCCCTCAGAGCTGAAAGACCCAAAAGCTGAAGACCCTGGGACCCTCCAAAGAAAGCCCCCCCCTGCGGAGCCTTACGATGCCCTATCCACAACCGCAGTCAAAAGCGAATTATGATTCAACGCCAAGAAAATCGTTGAGCCCTAAACCCTAACCCAAAGTTCATTGAGCCCGAAGACCCGCTAAACCCTCAACGAGGGTTGGGGCACCTCATAGGTCTGCAACCAGTCGCGGAAGCGATCGGGGTCCGAGGGTTCCATCCTTCTGGGCTGCTTACTTAAAGGATCATGGGACTTAGTAAGTAGGGTTATAGTTATAGGGTAACTATACTTATAACCCCAATTAAGGGACATATAACCTTACTTACGAAGTCCCATGATCCTCCAAGTAAGGCCTCTTCAGCCTAAAACCCTGATAAACCCTAAATCCTAAACCCTAAACCCTAAACCCAAAACCCCAAAACCCCTAAAACCCTAAACCCTAAACCCAAAACCCCTAAACCCCTAAAGTCCTAAACCCTAAACCTTGACGGGCAAGGAGTCAAGGCTTGCCTTGAGGCCTCCCTGGCTTTGCACGGTCTCAGTGTTGGCCCCTAATATAGGGGCCTTAATAAAATTAGAATAAGGTTTGGGGAAATGCTAAAAAACGTTTAATCAGAACCAGGAACCCCCAAAATAGTATGGGTAATTATGTAGGCCCCACAAGTACCGAAAGTGGGGCGCCTCAGGGCCCTGAAGCTTGGGGAACTTGGGGTCATAGGGGCCTTAGCAGCTAGAATACGGTTTTGGGGTCCTTGATAGTATATTCATCATAAGGAACGCCCCAAAAAAAGATAGGTAATTACTGAGGTCCCTTTATTAGAAGGTGCACGGTTTTGCGACGGATGGAACGCAAATGCCAGACGAACGGCTTGGCGCATCTTGCACTAAAGCCCCAGATCTGAGGAGCAACAGTCGTTGTCTTCTAGATGCCACCATCCCTAAATCCTAAACCCTAAACCCTAAACCCTAAACCCTAAACCCTAAACCCATAACAGTAGACTTGACTACCCTCGCTGGCATGATTTCGGGCTCAACGGGGGAGTAGTAACATCTGAAACCAGGAAAGCGTTCAGGCGCGCTTGGTAGAACCAGAGCTGATACTTGGAGGATCATGGGACTTAGTTATAAGTCCCTTAATTGGGGTTATAAGTATAGTTACCCTAATTATAACCCTACTTACTAAGTCCCATGATCCTTTAAGTATTCTTTGCGGAAACCTGGGGCGCTCGATCAGTATTGACCCCGAAGCAAGGTCCGGGCAGCTAGACGTGAACAACTGCCGCTGAACGTGAAGACAGAGGGGATCTAGGAAAACAATCGCGAGGATGGCAGCAACACTGACGTTCACAAATCATGTGAAATAGCAAGGGCAGGTGTACTCGTAGCATTGCTACGTAAACTATGAGCCCCAAAAAAAGCCAAATCCGTGATCAAGCACCAGGCGATTTGATGCCGTGCGGGTGGTGGTAAACGCCATCGTGGCCTCAGTGGAGACCATCTAGGATTTTGAGCTTCAGGATTGCGGGCTTGGGGCTTTAGGATTTCAGGCGTTGCCGGTTTAGGGTCAGCGGTGGAGGGCTAAAGACTTCGGGCTTAGGGCTTAGAATCTAGGCTTGAGGGCTTCGAGTCTTAGAGAACACGAGTATGACTCCTGGTCGTGGATGCATTGCGTCATTCCTCTCGTCAGCCTTGTTCTGCTGGTTGGTTGGTGCACCCCTGGTATTCCTAAGATGATGCCATGGCAGGGCTATGACGAATCTGCAGTTTCTAGGTGCCATCACTTGCTATCAGCTTTTGTCTTCTTAGCTTTAGCAGAAATCCCCAGTCCCTTGAATCCTCTTTTGAAAGGCTTAATAGCTAGGATAAAGTTCCTGCAAAGGGTGTTAATAAGGGGGTTCTGCAGGGGTACTACAACGGTTCAGTTTAGGTTCCCATATTTTTTGATAGGGATTATACTGTAAACATGATCGGAACCAGAATTGACAGTTTGGTAGCTATTCAGGCTCCTATCTTACACCTCAACCCCCGACCCAGTCCCACAAACTTAAACCCTGCCTCAGACCGTTGAACCCCAGCTCTAAATCGCTTGACATCCTCCTGAACCACAAACCCTACAACTCACAACATCTGTTGAACCTTTTGTGACCTTGTTTGGCACAGAAGCTCCCATACAAAATTCTGGAAACACAGAAGGTAACCCTAAACCCTAAACCCTAAACCCCTAAACCCTAAACCCTAAACCCTAAACCCTGTTTTGAAGAAGCAGCCACTCTCTCCGAGAGCCGCTCCCAAGGGGAAGGACGTCAGCTTCGAAACGCAGGTGAAGCCGGGCGCCTGGATGATGCGGGCTTGGGCTTAGGTGTTGTTTAGGGTTTAGGGTTTAGGGTTTAGGGTTTAGGGTTTAGGGTTTTAAGGTATACGGTTTAGGATACCCTGTTTAGGGTTTAGGGTTTAGGGTATCGGGTTTAGGGTTTAGGGTTTATTTAGGGTTTAGGGTTTTTGTGACGCCTTTGTCCGACTCCATGGGATCCATACTGCCAGAGCGCCTTATTAGGCAGGCGGACACATAAACCCTCAGCCATACCTTAGCACTTGCATCCGTCGGCTTCGGGTTTGGCGTCTAGGGTTTATTGCTTCGAATGTAGGGTGTCGGGGGCCAAGCGTTGCGCGAAGTGGGTACAGGGCTTCGGTGGCAAGAGTTACACTATTTCTTGCGTCTTGAACCAGTTGATTACTTTGCGTGCATGCTATCTAACTTCAGGTTCGGAGTCTTGGCGCTGAAATCTGGCAATACTTGCAGGATTCTCGATCTGGCATGGTTCGACTTTCATGCGGCCACCGGCACGACACACAGAGAGAGAGAGAGAGAGACTGGCCGACTGACTGACTGACTGACTGACTGACTGACTGAATGGACCAAGATCCAGGTACTGCAAAGAGCTCGCGGCTTGCTTCTATGATATGTCTATCCTCTTGAAGCATATAGTTCCTAGACCCCGAGCCCCAAACCCTTAACCCCTATGGCAGCCGTAGGCCCCCAACCCTACTTGGAGGATCATGGGACTTAGTAAGTAAGGTTATAAGTCCCTTAATTGGGGTTATAAGCATAAATACCCTAATTATAACCCTACTTACTAAGTCCCATGACCCTTTAAGTAAACCCCAAACCCCAAAGCACGAATCCGGGCCCCACGCACACTTCACTGCCCAGAAGCTGGTCGAAGGAGGCCTGGGGAGGGGCCCGAACCCTCAAAGGCCTGCAGGGCTCGTAGGATTCAAGGCTTCCCTTGAAAGGTCCTAATTGAAGGGTTTAGGGTTTAGGGTTTAGGGCTTAGGGGCTTAGGGTTTAGGGTTTAGGGGCTTAGGGTTAAGGGGGTTTTATGAAGGCTTCCCTTCCACTTGCATGTTCCATAGAACTTTAACGACACTTGAATAGAAAGAACTCAAAAAGAACACTTATAGCACGATGAAGATCGCGATCGGGATCCTCATCGTTGATGTTGCTGATTTAGCGGTCGATTCTTGCCATTGTCGGGGTGCAGATGAGTTGTCATGATTGAGGAACAGCGTGCGTCTGCAGACCCTTAACCCTAATCATCCCTAAACCCTAAACTTCCTAAACACTTTCGGGCTCTCCAACATTGGGAAGGAAGACGGTGCTCTTCAGGTCGAGGGATTTGGGTTTTGCTCTTAACTTTTGGTGGGGAGGGGTGCGGCTTTAGGGTTGCAGGAGGTTTGGGGCATCAAGGCACCGAGGGTTTTTGAGGGGTTTAGGTTTAGGGGTTTAGGGGTTTAGGGTTTCTTTTGTTTAGGGTGCAGGGGTTAGGGTTTAGGGATTAGGGGTTTAGGGTTTAGGGTTCAAAGGCACCAAGGGTTTTTGAGGGGGTTTCGGGGCCACGCCGTCACTTCTCCCGAGATCCCGCACACTGCCAGGGGGGCCAGCAGAGCCCCCGTGGGCGCCATGGCGCTCAAGTTGCTCTGCTCATTTGCAAAAGGTCCGGGAGGGGGCGGCTGCTTGGAGGATCATGGGGCTTAGTAAGTAAGGTTATAAGTCCCTTAATTGGGCTGATAAGTATAGTTACCCTAATTACAACCCTACTTACTAAGTCCCATGACCCTTTAAGTGAGGGGGGGGAAGGCCTGAGGCTAGGAGTCCCGCTCGTCTCTTTCATCTGATCCTTTCCGACTCTCGGGCTGGAAGTTTTGGGATTCTCTGGCACGGTTGAGGGTTTAGGGTTTAGGGTTTAGGGTTTAGGGTTTAGGGTTTAGGGTTTAGGGTTTAGGGTCTGACGCTTGGCTTGCGAATCGCTAGCTGACTCAGCCGGAGAAATAGGACTGCGACTGGCCGCAAACTTGGCCTGACATCGTGCTCAGCCCAGCCCAAGCCTGCAAAACAAGGAACTCCGATGTCCAAAACTCTTGAGACACTGACCGTGGAACCTGAAGCCGACACGTTGAGTCTGTCGTGAACCATCGCACCATCGGAGGTAGTAAACTCAGCAACGACGCTGCTCCCGTCTCAGATCCCCCGCGTTGGGGGTTCAGCGCTTCAAGGTCGAGGGTAGAAGCGGCCAGAAGCTCTTCCGGCCCTCTAATTACCGGAATTCCTAAAGCCCGGGATGGGGGTTTAGGGTTTAGGGCTATAGGGGTTTAGGGTTATAGGGGTTTAGGGGTTTAGGGATTTAGGGGCATGCATGCTTCGGACGCTTGCCGTTTTCATTGGTCTGGCGCAGCATAGTCCAGCAAGTCTGTGTATTCAGTGTGTGGTCGTTAATGACCGACACACTGCGCTGAACAGCTTAAGGCACTTGAGGGAGCTTAAAAAGACCCCACCCACTACTTCTGTTCTCATTGATGTTTACTCTTATCGTTGTAAAAGGGCATCGATGTTCTCACTGTGTTTGTTCTGGTCGTTTCACAAGAGAAAATCCAAGCCTGTCAACTGAAGGACGGGCCTGCTCTTAAATCCGCTACAGGGGCTTTTCATCATCCCTCACTTCGCCCTGAAACCTCTGTACATAGTACAGCAATACTTCAGAACATGGTACTCTCACTACTTGGAGGATCATGGGACTTAGTAAGTAAGGTTATAAGTCCCTTAATTGGGGTTATAAGTATAGTTGCCCTAATTATAACCCTACTTACTAAGTTCCATGATCCTTTAAGTATGCATTCTCCAAACTTGGGGCTGGACCGTGAGTTGACCAATGGATCAATCACGACCGTGGCAATATTGCCTGAGTCAGATGCAGCCGCGGCATGCACTGTTGTGAGACGAATATATGTGCAGAAACCTACGACTTGCACTAAACAGCTTTCAGCTGAGCAGGCATACCGTCGGCTGAACTGCGATCATGCGAACCGGATGTACGTGGGCACTGATCCGGACCAATCGGTGAGGACCAAACCGCCACAAGCAAGCCATGCAAGACCTCAACCTTGGACGAGCATCTGACGAAGCTAAAGACTAAATCTTAACCTTCCGTCTGAGCATAACACTGTCGTGCATGCTGGCTGCTGGTCGACAACCATGGCCCCATAATCCTCGCTGGCATCGCTGGCTACCTCCATGCTTGCATAGGCAACACGATCTCCAGGGTCGATGTGGAAACACCTGCCGCTGACAGTCGTGCTGAAACCGCTTGTGCCCTTGCTCTTCCCGTAGCTTGTGGTGGAGTTTCTTCCTTCCCCACTGATGGAACTGTGCTCGCGGGTCCCAGGTGCCCATGGCTCAGGTGGCGCAGGCATGTAGCTTCCACTGCAAACGATTCGTCGTGCCTCTGTGCCCCTCAGTGGCTCGCACACAAGCGGACTTGTTTTCGCAAAGCCTGGGATGAACTGGCCATGGACTTTGGCAACGAAGTCCTGCATTCCAGACATCTCACTGAAGTGGAACGAGGCAAATCCCTTGGCATTGCCATTCGGAAAGACGGGCATCTCTGCGCTGAAGCCTGTCACCCCCTTCGCCTGCAAGAAGTTGTGCAAAGCTTGCTGATCACACTTAGCAGGGATGTTGCGCAGGAAGATCCCATCCGTGGACTCCCAGCCCGCTTGTGTCAAACGTCGAGACAAAGCCATGTGCTCGATCTCGATTGCAAGAGTCTCCGATGGGAAGTCAAGCTTGAGCACTTCTTTGCCTTCGGATCGGGCACGCAAGGCAACGAGTACTGGTTCGAGTTCCAGCACTACCGGCACATCAAGGCTTGCTGCATAGAGTTGCTGCCTGCCGGAAGACGGACAGGACTAAGAAAGCGCCCAGGGCCAAAAAAAGGGGTGGCTACAGGCTACAGGCTACGAGGATACTGCACAAGGTGAAACAAACACGCACGCGCACAGGAAAAGGCAAAAAAATTGGCTGGCTGGGTGTCGAGGGCCTTCGATGCAGCCTCTGAGACCTTCAAATTGCGCGACTGCTGAAACACGGAAGACCTCCCGAGATCTCTAAACTGCTGAACCCTGGCAGAAAGCCCCTATGAGCCCTGATCTGTTCAAAAGCCGGGCGAAAGCCCAGTGTCCCTGTAAACCCTAAACCCTAAACCCTAAACCCTAAACCCTAAACCCTAAACCCTAAACCCTAAACCCTAAACCCTAAACCCTCTCCTGTGCTTAGGTCTTTTGTGGGGTTTCGGATGCGCGGGCTCAGGGCTTTCCGTCGCTTTTCGCGCTGCCGGCCCTTTCGAGTCGCTGAGGGCCCACTTTGTGGGTCCCTCCTCCTCCTCTAGGGCCCCTAGAGACCCTGATAACAAGGCTTTGTATACCTTTTGCTACAAGAAGCTACTGTGAGGTTTTGAGGCCTGTGACGTGAGGGGGATCTTGAGGTATTTCAGGCTTCAGGGCTTCTCTGTTGGCCACTTCGCGTCGTGAGGCCCTCCGGGGCGGAGCCACCGCATCACTTCTCCGTCGGCGAAGACACTCACCTGGGGGCTCGTGGATTTCCCAAGGCTCGCATAGAGGCTTCGCCAAGCACCCCCTCTTGAACCGCCCGAAGTTTAAGACACTCAACACTGAGCACCACCACGACTACGACTGTTCGGTAAGGCTCTGAAGACGTCCGCCCAGTTACTATGCAAACTGCAAACCTAAACCCCCATAACAAACCCTGAGCCCGGCTTTCTTGTTCTCCATGGCGCCCTACGCGCTCGTGTCATGTTGTGGAACTCGTATAGAACGCTTTGAGGCAACCCTTACAATACCCTTTAAACGCGAACCCCATTCTAACTGAGGGCCCCTGCGCGTGGCCAGCGAGGCGAAGGTCGACTTCCGCCATGACGACCTCAAACATGGGCAGGGAAGGAGAGGTCGGTTCTATAGGGTTCTATAAGGGTTTCTTTGGGGGGGCTCCTTACGGGTTGAGGGTTACGGATTTGGGTTCTGAGTTCTGATATCTCGCCGTGGTTCGCATTCGGCAATCCAAGGGGTGATATTAGAGGTTTAGGGTTTAGGGTTCAGGGTTTGGGGAATGGCTCACGGGGGGGGGGGGGATTCATGGCACAACTCGCGTACCTTCCTGAGAACGAGTCGCTCAATCAGCTGTCACACGACAGACAGCACACTTTCTTTCTGAGCAACCACCCCTATGATTGAACGGAGATCGGGTACTGCTGCCTCACGGCACGAAATGGCCATCAAGTCAGTCCGGCCTCAAACCTCAATCCGTCCTTGTGGTGTGGTGTGTCCTCAACAGAGCCTTAACCTCGAAACTGTACAGCTTCAACACCGGGGCAAGCGACGCCGATGATAAAGACAAGGTAGATGGACCACATGGCCACGGGCCAAATAGCGCCACCCTGCAAATCGAAATGCAAGGGGCTGCTGCATGGTTCTGAGCTAAGGCTCAGGCCATGGGGCTTGCAGGTTTTGCGGTGTTTGGGGTGAAGGCGCGTGCAATCATGCGCAGACCCTAAACTCCAAGCCCCTCACCCTAAACCCTAAACCCCTAACCTTGACCCTAAACCCCTAACCTCCACCCTGAACCCTAAAGCCCTAAACCCGCAACCTTGAAAGCCTAAATCCGAAACTCCTAACCGGAACACCACAACACAAAGCCCACAACTCTCCAACTGGGAGCGCTCCAGGCTTAACGTGGAGCCCTAAACGGCCGGAAACTCTGCACTTTAGGGTTTAGGGTTTAGGGTTTAGGGTTGCGCCCCTTCAAGTCTGGCTGCTTTGGGCTTGCCCGAAACCCCGCACCCCTGAACCCCAAAATAAAAAAAGAAACGGAACCCTTAACTAAGCCTTGCGGTAACCCCAAGCTGGAAGCCCTTAACCCTTATTGTAAGTCTTAAACGCTAAGAACGAACTTAATGAACCCCCTAAACCCTAAACCC